GTAATAACTCGAACAATCCTGTTTTTTTTTTCTCGCCCATTATCTTCTGATACTGAAATATTCTTATACTCATTCTTATATATGAGTAGCGTGTTTGATTTTATCTGTTGAGATTTGCAAGCACGACAAAGCTCTGGCAATTTACAATGATCCACACTAACTTCCGTGTTATACACTTCCCTGTTCAAGAGAGAGGCATTGGATCTGGGGTCTTGGGTTTCCTCTGGACTTTTAGATATTAATCATGAATGTAACGCCTGCAAATTTCATTGAATCTGAAAGTTCCCCAAGTATGGTTGTAGGCATTAACCTTTAAAAGTAAACTTTTTATCCATCATAAATTTCCCATCTGAGACTTATGCACTCCGTGCTGTAAATACTGCATTCCAAAAAGTGTCTTTGCCAGGCCTGGTGGCACAGGCCTTTAATCCCAACCCTCAGAAGGCAGAAATAGGTGGATTGCTTTGAGTTGGAGGCGGGGGAGGTCTACAAAGTGAGTTCCAGGACAGCCAGAGCTCCGTGGTGAGTTCCTGTCTCAAAAAAACAAGAAAATTTAAACAACAAATAGACAATGAAAAGCACAGTGTCAGATCACAGTATCTTCACAGTTAGAAAAGGTGTTATAAGCCTCTTTTGGTGGACCTTGGAGTCCCTTGCTAGCCTAGTCTATGGAGTCAGTTTAAGAACAGCCAAAATGAGAAAAGAAATTTAAAAGTATTATAGCGGCTTCTACTGCCACCTGGGGCCATGGTGACATCCTAGCCCCCCAGCTGCTTCCTAGGACCTTGTCTGGATCTTGGGTGTGGCCAATACTGATTTCTGTGGCCCATTTCTCCACCACAGGCCACATGGACGATGACTCAGATATAGGTGTCTTTAGGGCTTTATCGCACACCGCTCTGCAAGTTTGTGAATTTTTATTTTTTGAATGAGTCTCAACGTCTCCCAGAGTAAAGTGAAATCCTCAGACAAAAAAAGAAAAGTTTCAAGAAATGTTCTCTCCCTCCTGCGTTGTTTGTGTGCCTTTGGGAGGTGTCAGGCTTCATAATTTTTTTTGGCTTCGTTATAAATTCATAATGTCACGAGTGCATAATATTCTCATCCCAATCATTCAGTACCATTTCCGCCCCTGAGTTTGGACTGAGCTGTGATTGGAAGTGGGATTCAGGTTACAATAACTGAAATTGATTGCCAATTGTTTTCGGTATTCTCACAGGGAAGGACAGTTGGGGAATCATTTGTCTAGTCCAATGTTTCATTTTTGACGTATCTCCTGGGCACGGTACTGTGGTAGAAATGTGGGTGCTTTCTGAAGAGTATTTTTCTCATGTGCAGGGCTCACTGACCTGCCAGACCTGCTCACCTGTGGAGCCTCTGCCCGGTAGATGGAGAGAGAAGAGCCAGTAGTTAAAGCTCCAGGTACGTTGGAGAGATTGATGAAGGGGTGGCAAGGGGTGTGAATGAATGTGGAAGCTGGGCATGAAATCAGCTTTGCCACATCCTGTTTCACTAGACGTAAGTCTGAAGACTGCCACTCAGAAAGGTCTCAGGATTATCCTAATGCAGGCGTGAGAAGTCTTTCTACAGAAGAAATGAAAACGGAGGCAAGTAAAATTGTACTTGACCAAAGCCTGTGAGCGATGCTGTCCTTACCCTGCTCGCGTCACTGATCATGTCCTCAGACGATTACCAATGATCTTCAGTTCTGCAATCTTCATATAAAATGATGAAAATTAATTCCTCCAGTTTTGTTCATTGTTTCCAGAATTTTGGAGCTTTTGGTATTCTAGCATGTTCTCTCCATTTGGGTTTTAATGTTTCCATTCCTGAGAATAATGCCAGAGGATATTTGATAAGAATCAGGAAGTATATTTACAGCCTGCTACATTCCGTCTATACTGTCTGCTATTGTCTGTTGGAAATTAGGGTAAATACTGAGAATGCAGTGAGGACTTATGCTAACTTAGTAAGTAGTGGTTGTAGGTTCTCCTCTAGGATCCATGCTTTTGCTAGCCCTGGGGAAACTGGCTAGGTTTCCAGTACCAGGCATGTTCTCCCTCTTGTTGAGAGGGTCTTAATTGAATTAGAAGCTGTTGGATACCAGGAAAGTTTGAGTGCCACTCCTGGACCCTTAGGGTCATTGTGCAGTGCAGATCATTGTTGTGGTCCACAGGTGTCATGGGACTGTTGGCTGTTCTTCCCTTTGGAAGCTTGCATGTTGCCTTCTGGAACCATGAAAGCTAGGCCCCTGGGAGGAGGCTTTAAGATCAGTTCCATTTTGAGTCTAGGCTTTGAGTCTGAAGTGTGTGGCTTCTTCAAAAACAGGGATGACAGTGACGATTCAAAAGGCAGGTTTCCCCAAGGCTTTGCAAGTGAGGGTTCCTCCAACGGAAATCATGAGGATCTCGCTGGGTCAGCCTAGTGATTATTGTATGACCCCTGTGGCTTTTAGCAATTCCCCATATTTCATTTCATAAATGCAGTGTATGAAATTCTCTCTGTGCAATGGACATAGCACATCCTACTTATATGAGGACTGGAAGAAAAAATAAAAGTAAAAAGATGAGTGTTCATATAATTTCTAAATTGATAAAAAGTTTCCATGAGGAGTTATTATGAACAAAATTTTTAACTGAATTAACAAGGTAATGAGCTATGTCCTCTGCTGAAGAAAGCTGGAGCCTGGAATGGCTAATAGTATTGATCTGAGAATGTAAAGTGCCCGAGTCTATGCCTGGCTGGGAACTATTCTAAACACCTTTCAAGTGAGCCTGTACCTGCTCTCATGACATAGATCCATCTAAAGTCAGCATGACTCGATGTTGTTAAGCTTGTCTAAAAGTTGTAGCTTTGAATTATCAGAAGAGGAATGCTAGTTTAGGGTGTTAGTTTTGTCTATTAGTCTTTGATTCATTGTATTAAATTATTAACCTTCGCATTTATGAAGCATCGTTAGAGTTTACCTGAGTTTGTGGTGAGCATCTGCAGGACCAAGCCTGTAGTTGAAGTTAAACTAATAAGTTAAACTTGAAATTAAAGCAATAATAAAACTGTTTTAGCTATGAGAGGGCAGAACCAACTCTCTCAAAATGTATATAGTAAAATTTTCACAACAGAACAGTTGTCAGAGACACATAAAGACGTTGTCTGAGACCACATGCATTACAGGATCTCGGGCAGAATCTATACAATTAGCAATAGAACGTTTTTAGAAGTCAGTTCAGCCCCTGGACTGTAGAGTTCAATATAGCAAAAAAAAAAGGTGGGGTGGGGGGTGTAAGTGACAAAGTTGTATAGAAGTTGCTCATGGTTGCTTCCTGCTGATAAGGGGTGACGTTGAGAGGGAGAGCGGGCTGTTTTAGACTCTGTGAGGCCTGCAGGCAGCTTGGGAGCAGTCTGTGTGTCCTGAGAATGCAATAGGGCCCCCTGGAGTGAGAGCTGGAGGCTGGCGCTCAGGGCTGCAGCAAGGCTGTGGTCAGAGGAAGAGCAATCTGTAACACTTTAAATGATTATAAGTCTGGTGGTGGGATAAATATATGTTAATAGGAGAATATGAAGTTTAGGAATTTTGGAGATGAAACTTTTTTTCATAGGTACACACTTGCAATTTCTATGTGTACAGTAGCTGAAGAGAAAAAGGCGGTCCAGGCCAGGCAGAGAGGGAAAGTTTCTCCACCCTCCCAAAAAATTGGCAGGTGGGAAAACAAGCAGCAGACAAGCAATACTTATCTTTAGGTTTATTTTGACCTGTGATGAAATTGAAGGATCCAAATTGATCTCTTGAAGCTTATAAGAGTGTTTCTTAAGAGGCAAAAAAAAAAAAAAAAAATTGTTACTTATTATTATTTGTAGTCTGCATTGAAATGTGTGTGGAAGAGGCAAAGAGGCTCATTTTGAGTCATAATAGAAGCTTTGAAACCTAAAACTAATTTTGGTTAAAAGGAGTAATATTTCCTTTCCTGTTTAGAAGGCTGTATGTATATAAATTAAAGTGATGTCGCCATCAAAATCAGAAGACTTTTTCAGTTTTACATTTAAAAAAAAATGTTCAAAGGGAATATAAGACTATGCTTGTGGTTAAACAGTATATCTAACCATACCTTTCTTTATGAGGCTAATGATTGCATATACTAAGTTTAGATTTTGAGATTATTTTTGGAAATGAGTAACTTGGAGAATTGAACCTGTCCTTTTGATAGATAAAGGAAGGCAATTGACTCCAAAGTTTATGCATACTTAAAATAGAGCTTTTGCAGAAATTAGAACAAGGAATAGTTTTTCTTATCATGAGAAGTTTAAACGTCTTAAATGGCAAAGAGATAAGCAAAGGAATTGTATCAATAACAGTATGTTTATGAATATAGTTTTGAGTATATGAGAATATATTCAAAGATTAATTGAATATGTTTGAATAGTATTTATAAGTTTAGTCAATAATCTGTATTTTAATATCTTATAGAGTAAGTAAATTTTAATCAATAAGTTGTAAAAGTTTACAGTTAAATTTATTCTTAACAGCCGG